TCTTTTCAAAGACAGAGTCTATCTTCTCTTCCAACCTCAGCAAAATCAACACTCAAGACTACAGCCCTATCTGTTTTGTCACTGGCAACCCCTCTCGAAAGCATAAACACTCCTAGGGAGCCACCAGGAACAGATGGGGGGGGACAGGCAGCTCCCACCCAGGGCACAGCTGCTCACTCACTCAGCTCACAACTGGGAAGCCGGCCGGGCGCAGTGGCTCACGCCTGTAATCCCAGCACTTTGGGAGGCCGAGGTGGGCGGATCACCTGAGCTCAGGAGACCAGCCTGACCAACATGGTGAAACCTCGTCTCTATTAAAAATACAAAAAATTAGCCAGCCGCGGTGGTGGACACCTGTAGTCCCAGCTACTCAGGAGGCTAAGGGAGGAGAATCACTTGAACCCGGGAGGCGGAGGTTGCAGTGAGCCGAGATCGCACCACAGCGCTCCAGCCTGGTGACACAGCGAGACTCCGTCTCAAAAAAACAAAACAAAAACAAACTGTGAAGCCCGTGTAAGCAGGAGGCGCTCCCCATGCCAAGGCATAGTGTGTTCTCTGGAACAGGCGCCTGGGAGAACCAATCCACTCACCTGTTGTGCGGCCTTATCGGCGAGCAGCGCGAATTCCACAGACAGGCCTTTCAGAGCCTGCTTCAGGGACCCCCAGGTGCTGCTGTTCAGAGCGGCCCAGGAGGGCAGCGGGGTTGTGTCGGACCCGATTGCACTGAGGGAGCAAGCACACGAGAGGAGACACTCAAGGCCTGGAGCTCACCCCGCAGTCAAGCCTGGCATCCCCCGCCACAGACGTGCAGCTCTCAACACTGCGTCCTCCACGGCAACCTGCATGCTCCCCCGTCCTGTGCCCCTGCTGCTCAAAGAGTGGCCTGTGGGGACCCTGGAAGCCCAGGAGAAAGAGTGGCCCTGAGGCTGCACCCCAGGCCCTGCTGCATCTTTTCTTCCCTACCAGCCCCCAGGTGACATGTGTGCACAGGTGAGGGGCACTGCTGGGGGGAGCAGAGTCCTGGGTGGGGTCTCCCCTCCCCTCAGGCAAAGGAAGCATTGCTAGCCCATGGTCTGTTCTTCCCCAAGTCAAAGGGATCTTTTTTTCTTTTTTTGAGATGGAGTCTTGCTCTGTCGCCCAGGCTGGAGTGCAGTGGCACAATCTCAGCTCACTGCAACCTCCGCCTCCCAAGTTCAAGCAATTCTCCGCCTCAGCCTCCCAAGTAGCTGGGATTACAGGCGCCCACCACCATGCCCAGCTAATTTTTTTTTTTTGTATTTTTAGTAGATAGGGAGTTTCACCATCTTGGTCAGGCTAGTCTTGAACTCCTGACCTCATGATCCACCCGCCTTGGCCTCCCAAAGTGCTGAGATTACAGGCGTGAGCCACTGTGCCCAGCCAGGGCTCTTTTTTTAATTTTTTTATTTTTTGAGATGAAGTTTCGCTCTTGTTGCCCATGCTGGAGTGCAATGGCACAATCTCGGCTCACTGCGATGTCCACCTCCTGGGTTCAAGCAATTCTCCTGCCTCAGCCTCCCGAGTAGCTGGGATTATAGGCATGTGCCACCACGACCAGCTAATTTTGTACTTTTTTAGCAGAGACAAGGTTTCATCATGTTGGTCAGGCTGGTCTCGAACTCCTGACCTCAAGTGATCCACCCACCTTGGCCTCCCAAAGTGCTGGGATCACAGGCATGAGCCACCCAGCTGGCCTGGGATCTTTTTTTAAAGTCTCATCCTGACAGTGGGAAAACTACCAGACTAGAAACTGGTGAGCATTTACTCGTGCTCAGAAATCTGTGTTTCAGGGCTGAAATTCTCCCGTGTTTCTTCTAAATATGACCCCCCATGTGCCTGACCCACTTTCTGCCCCTTCTGGGGTGAAACAGGTCAGGATGCTGGTTATTACAGTAAATGCACTTTCTGCCCAAGCGTGGATTTCCTTCCAACCGCGCGTGCCCCTGCAGAAGCTGAAAGGTCACCTGCCTTAGCTCCTTCCCGAATATGAGAAGATCTGCCGCGTTGTCGATGGCCCGCGACGCGATCCGCTCGGCCCTGTCGCGAAGCTTGTGAAAGCTGTTGTAGATGTTCCGGATTAGCTCCCGGCTGATGGCAAACTGAGCCTGGATGTCAGCTGGGAGGAAGTCCTGACATGATGCGGAGGGGGAGAGAGACTGTGTGTTACTCGCTGGGGAGCACCTGTCAGACGGGAGCAGCCAGTCCCCCAAAAGCTGAGCCGCAGGAGACCCAGCAGGTCCATGAGCCACCCCGAGAGCCCAACTCCTCCAGGCCTGCAGGGATCACTCTGTACGTCCAAAAAAGAAACGAAAACCGTCATCACCCGCATGCCACAAACACGAAGACAAATGAGCCCTAGGATGAGGACCACAGAGTCCACTGAAATCCCATCACACCGGAGGACCTATCCAAAAACACTCAAATAAGGCCAGGGGCGGTCACTCACGCCTGTAATCCCAGCACTTTGGAAGGCTGAGGCGGGTGGATCACCTGAGGTCAGGAGTTCGAGACCAGCCTGACCAAAATGGTGAAACCCCGTCTCTACAAAAAATACAAAAATTAGCTGGGCATGGTGGCGGGCGCCTGTGATCCCAGTTACTCTGGAGGCTGAGACAGGAAAATTGCTTGAACCTGGGAGGCAGAGGTTGCAGTGAGCTGAGATCATACCACTGCACTCCAGTCTGGGCGACAGAGCAAGATTCTGTCTCAAAACAAACAAACCAACAAAACCCTCAAATAATCCCAGCACTCTGGGAGGCCGAGGTGGGTGGATCACGAGGTCAGGAGATCAAGACCACAGTGAAACCCCATCTCTACTAAAAATACAAAAAATTAGCCAGGCGTGGTGTTGGGCGCCTGTAGTCCCAGCTACTCGGGAGGCTGAGGCAGGAGAATGGCGTGAACCCGGGAGGCGGAGCTTGCAGTGAGCCTTGATCGTGCCACTGCTCTCCAGCCTGGGCAACAGAGCTAGACTCCATCTCAAAAAATAATAATAATAATAATCTTTAGCTGGATACAGTGACTCACGCCTGTACCCCAGCACTCTGGGAGAGAGGCAAGAGGATCGCCAGAGCCTGGGAGTTTAAGAACAGCCTAGGCAACACAGTGAGACCCCATCTCTCCCAAAAAATCAAAAAATTAGCCAGGCGTGGTGGAGCGCCTGTGGTCCCAGGCGCTTACAGAGGGCTGAGCAGGAGGATCACTTGAGCCCAGGAGTTCCAGGCTGCAAAGAGCCATGATCACAACACTGCAGTCCATCCTGGGGACCCTGTCTCCAGAAAACAACAAAAATAAAAACAAACAATCTTCAAGTGAAACACAATGAACATAAATCCCTGAAAGACTCTCCACATGGGGGGAAGGCCTCTTGTATGCCTCACTTATTCCCAAAGACGTTTTAGAAGCTTTGATACTAGCTACCAGTGTTCAGAAAACAGAAAGCTCAATGAGTAAAATGAAGGTAAAAGATCTGGCCAGGCGTGGTGGCTCATGCCTATAATCTCAGTACTTTGCAGGGGCCATGCCAGGAGGACTGCTTGAGGCCAAGAGTTCAAGGCCAGCCTGGGCAACATAGTGAGACTTCATCTATACCGAAAACAAACAAATCAGCCAAGTGTTGTGGCACACGCCTGTAGTCCCAGCTGTTATGGGAGGCTGAGGTGGAAGAATCGCTGGAACCCGGCAGGTCAAGGCTGCAATGACCTATGATTGTGCCACTGCACTACAGCCTTGGGGACAGAGCAAGACCTTGTCTCAAAAAATAAAATAAAATAAAATTAGATTTTTTTATTTTTGTATGAAGTAGCAGGTTTTTTTCTGGGTTTTTTGTTGTTGCTATTGTTGTTTTTGAGACAAAGTCTGAGTCTGTTCCTCAGGCTGGAGTGCGGTAACATGACCTCGGCTCACTGCAGCCTCCGCCTCCTGGGTTCAAGTAATCCTCCTGCCTCAGTCTCCCAAGTAGCTGGGATTACAGGTGCCTGCCACCAGGCCTAGCTAATTTTTTTTTCTTTTTTTTGATGGAGTCTCTGTCACCCAGGCTAGAGTGCAGTGGCACATGATCTCGGCTCACTCCAACCTCTGCCTCCTGGGTTAAAGCAATTCTCCTGCCTCAGCCTCCCGAGTAGCTGGGATCACAGGTGTGTGCCATCGCACCTGGCTAATTTTTGCATTGTTAGTAGAGACGGGGTTTCACCATGTTAGGCTAGTCTTGAACTCCTGACCTCGTGATCCACCCGCCTCGGCCTCCCAAAGTGCTAGGATTACAGGTGTGAGCTACCATGCCTGGCCAGTTTTTTGGGGTTTTTTTGTATTTTTATTAGAGATGGGGTTTTGCTATGTTGGCCAGGCTGGTCTCAGACTCCTGACCTCAAGTGATCCGACAGCCTCAGCCTCCCAAAGTGCTGGGATTACAGGCATGAGCCACCGTGCCGGCCTGAAGAAGAGGTTTAAAAAGAAAAAACAAAAAACAAAAAAACTACCCTAACCTTAGTCCTTTTTGGAAAAAGACCAGATTTCAAACATTCAATCATAAACAGATGCAACAATGAATCCCCAGAAATCTGAAGAGGCGGTGACACAAGCATCCGGCTGTCTGAGTCACAGAAAGGGGCAGAGGGCACGGGGTGCCTGGAGGGCCTGAGGTCAGAGCTCAGCCACATCCCGGCCCTGCTGCTTAGAGGCTCGGGGCCTTGGCTCGCCGAGCCTGTTTCTCCATCTGTAAAACAGGCCTCCCAGCCCTGTGTCAGAGCAGCTGACACAAGGGTTAAATGAGGAAACCATGCGACAGATGTCAGTATAATCCTTGCCACGCAGACGAGGCAGAATCACTACAAAGGGTTAAAACTGTTGTTTCTCTGGTTAAAAAGGGAAGGACTCTTCAAAGTTAGAAAAATACCTTGGCCCTGGTAGCCAGCTTACAGTTCATGAATTCGTCCCCGACGCACTGTGCTGACTCCTTTAACTTGTTCTGCACATCCTGCAAAAGGAAAAGAGACAGCTTCACCCTCTTCTACAGGCAGCAAGAAAGCGGCTGTGGGGCGTGGGCCACTGTGCAGCGGAATGCCGTCCTTCCTCAGCAGAAACACATTTCCATATGTTGGCTTTGACATTAGGATTCCGCAATCTCTTGACTCTCCCTTAGGTGTTTTTCTCACCAAACAGGATGTCCTGGCTTCACAGCAGAAGCCCCACAAACCTGTAGCCTCTCTCCAGAGGCACAGCCACTCCATCCACAGACGGGGGGCGGCTCTGCAGAGAAACGGCCCCTGCATTCACAGACCTCCATCCACAGACCTCCATCCACAGTCGGGGGGCGGCTCTGCAGAGAAACGGCCCCTGCATCCACAGACCTCCATCCACAGACCTCCATCCACAGTCCCCTCCACCCCCCCCCCCCCCCCCCCCCCCCCCCCCCCCCCCCCCCCCCCCCCATCCACAGTCGGGGGCGGCTCTGCAGAGAAACGGCCCCTGCATCCACAGACCTCCATCCACAGACCTCCATCCACAGACCTCCATCCACAGTCGGGGGGCGGCTCTGCAGAGAAACGGCCCCTGCATCCACAGACCTCCATCCACAGACCTCCATCCACAGACCTCCATCCACAGTCGGGGGGCGGCTCTGCAGAGAAACGGCCCCTGCATCCACAGACCTCCATCCACAGACCTCCATCCACAGACCTCCATCCACAGTCGGGGGGCGGCTCTGCAGAGAGACAGCCCCTCCATCCACAGACCTCCATCCGCAGACGAGGGGCGGCTCCGCAGAGAAACGACCCCTCCGTCCACAGACCTCCATCCGCAGACGGGGGACAGCTCTCCAGAGAGACAGCCCCTCCATCCACAGACCTCCATACAGACGGGGGACAGCTCTGCAGAGAAACGGCCCCTCCATCCACAGACCTCCATACGCAGACGGGGGGCGGCTCTGCAGAGAAACGACCACTCCATCCACAGACCTCCATCCGCAGATGGGGGGAGGCTCTCCAGAGAGACAGCCACTCCATCCACAGACCTCCATCTGCAGATTGGGGGCGGCTCTGCAGAGAAACGGCCCCTCCGTCCACAGACCTCCATCCGCAGACAGGGGAGGCTGTGCAGAGAAACAGCCACTCCATCCACAGACCAGAGGCGGCTCTGCAGACAAACAGCCCCTCCATCCGCAGACGGGGGGCGGCATCAGCCCCGGAGACAGACGGCAGATACGTGAGACCCTGGTAGGTTCCAAAAGCGCAATAGAACAGGGCAAAAGCGTCTTCCTTCCTGGGAACGCATGCCTGGCGCCAGGGACACCAGAGCCCAGGGAGCTGCTGGGCAGAGGAAGGACAGGCCCAACCACTAGCACTGGAGCCCTCTCATCTGAACGAGGCTTCCTGGGCAAAGCCATGCCTGAAAATCAGGAGCCACCCAGGAGATACAAGGGGAAACCCTAATAGGCAGCTGTTGACGTGTCCAGGAATTCTCAAATTTCAGAGATGCCTTGAAGATCATCTGACTCAACTCTCATTTTACAAAAAACAAAAACCTGAGGCCCAGCATGATGCATGCCTGTAGTCCCAGCTACTCAGAGCCTGAGGCGGGAGGATCGCTTAGAGCCCAGGAGTTCAGGGCCAGCCCGGGTAACATAGTGAGACCCCATCTTTAAAAACAGAAAGCAAGCAAGAAAACTGAGGCCGGGAAGTGACAGAGAATGATACCTGTGGAAAGGCCACAGGGCGCATCCTACCCCCAGAACAGGGGTATCGCCCGCCTGTGACCCACGGCACCCCTCCCCACCGCCCCTCCCAGGTCCTGCCACATTCCTCTTCTGACAATCCAGATCGCCTTCCAAAGGAAGGTTTCCACCCCCAGGGCTCAAAAGGTCCCACTGTGTGCTCCAGACATCCCCAGGCGCATCCCAGAGACACCCCAGGCACAGGGCGAAGGCCCCTCTGCCTCCGAGAGAAGTGAAGACAAAAGGAAGCACAAGGCTTGTGTGAAGTCAGCCTGGGAGAGGGGGTGTCTTCCTGCAGCAGGGACTCGGGCAGGGGCCCTCAGGTCCCCATTCAAGAAGGGCTTTCCAGAAAACAGAGGAGAGCCTGGAAACCTCTATTCCAGTGGAGCCCCCGCCCCTCCGCTCACAGGGAGAGGGTCCTGCAGGCACAGGCGGAGGAGAAGCACCCGACCCGCCTTCCCTGGAGGGGCTGGCGGCTGCTTCCTCCTGCAGGAAACAGGAGCTGTGCTGCAGGGTTGGTATTTTTGTTTTGTTTTGTTTTTTGTTTTCTTGAGACAGGGTCTCGCTCTGTCGCCCAGGCTGGAGTGCAGTGGCACAATCACAGCTCACTGCAAGCTCCACCTCCCGGGTTCAAGGGATTCTCATGCCTCACCTCCCGAGTGACTGGGATTACAGGTGTGCACCACCATGCCTGGCCTCAGTTTCATTTTGTTTTGGCAGAGACAAAGTCTCGCTATGTTGCCCAGGCTGGTCTCAAACGCCTGGGCTTAAGGGACCATCTGGCCTTGGCCTCTCAAAGCGCTGGGATGAGAGGCGTGGGTCACCGTGCCCACAAGCTATAGCTTCTTGACACACACTAAAGCTGTGCCGCAGCAGCTGGAAGGAAGGAACCCCCGCTCGGACCTGGACGGAGCGCGTGTACAAGAAGTTAATTCCCGGCTGCAGGTCTGTGCTGTGGCTCTGACAAGGAGACTCAGCCTGTGTTCCAGTGGTCCCTAGTCAGACAGGGCCTTGTTTTAAGTAAACACTTCTTCCCATCTGGAGTCTCTGGCACCTCCCTAAACCCTCCAAAACATCCAGCCTAAATCCTCAAAGTGACCACAGAGACCCATGATCTCCACACAGATTTACAAAATCCTGCAAAGTCAACACCAGGGACACCTCTGAAAATCACATTCAGACTGTTATCTGGAGACGAAATAAGTCTTGTCTGTGTCATTCCTGCTGGGCGTCCAACGAGGGACCAGGAGGACAAGAAACCAAACCTGAGAGAGGAAAGGGCGGGTCCGGAGGCTCGGGACCTCCCGGGGCCAGGGCAGACACACTCACCGAGCCACTGAAGGACAGGAAGAGCTTGAGGACCACATCCTCGGAGAACAGGGGGTGCCGTGCCACCAGGTTGACGAAGCGCTTCAGGGCTCTCCTCCTGGCCTCGATGAACTCCCTGTCGGCTGGAGGAGGGCACGGGGTCACTGGACAGAGTCCAGGGTGCCGGCCCCCATCTGCTCTGGGTGAGTTCTCAAAACTCTCCCTACAGGCGGCAGAGCGCCCAGCGGCTAGCGGAGGGCACTGGCCGGGCCCCCAGTGCTGCTCGGACAATGGGTCTGAAAAAGCTGCCCAGAGCTAGAGCTGCACCACCAGATGCCCCCTCCGGCCACACACACTTGGGTCCAGGAGCTGCCAGGGAAAACCACAGATCTGCTTGTCTCCATCGGGAGTCCTGGGAACCACGAGAGCGGTCGCTTTGATCACCTCCATTAAAGACATCCTCCAGAATCCCCTCCTGGCACTTCTCTCCGCGAATGAATGGGTTTTGCTACGCTCCAACACTAACGCAACCCAGGGTTTTTTTGTTTTTTTTTTTGAGACAGAGTTTCACTCTTGTTGCCCAGGCTGGAGTGCAGTGGCACAATCTTGGCTCACTGCAACCTCCACCTCCCAGGTTCAAGCGATTCTCCTGTCTCAGCCTCTGGAATTAGCTGGGATGACAGGTGCCGCCACCACACCCGGCTAATTTTTGTATTTTTAGTAGAGATGGGGTTTCACCATGTTGGTCAGGCTGGTCTCCAACTCCTGACCTCAGGTGATGTGCCCACTTCGGCCTCCCAAAGTGCTGAGATTACAGGCGTGAGCCACTGCACCCGGCTGAGTTTTTCTATTCACTGTGCTTATAACTCACTCTGCAAAGGATCCAATTACTCATTGCTTTCATTCAGGTTAAATATTTTCACTCTAAGGGGAAAAAAAGTAAAAGCATATACTGATGCATTCAGGACATTTCAGTATGAACACAAATAAAAATGGTATTTAAGTACTTTTTTTTTCTTTTTTGAGATGGAGTTTCGCTCTTGTCACCCAGGCTGGAGTGCAGTGGTGTCATCTCGGCTCACTGCAACCACCGCCTCCCAAGTTTAAGGGATTCTCCTGCCTCAGCCTCCCAACTAGCTGGGATTACAGGCATGTGCCACCGCACCCAGCTAATTTTTGTACTTTTAGTAGAGACAGGGGTTTCACCATGTTGGTCAAGCTGGTCTCGGACTCCTGACCTCAGGTGATCCACCCACTTCAGCCTCCCAAAGTGCTGGGATTACAGGCGTGAGCCACCAGCACCCAGCCTTTAAATACTACTTTAATGTATTAAGAAATACAGTCAGGGCCGGGCGCGGTGGCTCAAGCCTGTAATCCCAGCACTTTGGGAGGCCGAGATGGGCAGATCACGAGGTCAGGAGATCGAGACCATCCTGGCTAACACGGTGAAACCCCGTCTCTACTAAAAAATACAAAAAACTAGCCAGGCGAGGTGGTGGGCGCCTGTGGTCCCAGCTACGCGGGAGGCTGAGGCAGGAGAATGGCGTGAACCCGGAAGGCGGAGCTTGCAGTGAGCTGAGATCCGGCCACTGCACTCCAGCTCGGGTGACAGAGCAAGACTCCGTCTCCAAAAAAAAAAAAAAAAGAAATACAGTCAGGTTCTATGGCCCACGCCTGTAATCCCAGCATCTTGGGAGGCTGAGGAGGGCAGATCACATGAGGCCAAGGAGTTCTACATCAGCCTGGCCAGCGTAGCGAAACCCTGTCTCTAAAAAAAGACATAAAAGAGGCTGGGCACTGTGGCTCACGCCTGTAATCCCAGCACTTTGGGAGGCCGAGGGAGGCGGATCACGAGGTCAGGAGATTGAGACCATCCTGGCTAACACGGTGAAACCCCCGCCTCTGCTAAAAGTACAAAAAACTAGCCAGGCGCAGTGGCGGGCGCCTGTAGTCCCAGCTACTTGGGAGGCTGAGGCAGGAGAATGGCGTGAACCCAGGAGGTAGAGCTTGCAGCGAGCCGAGATTGCACCACTGCACTCCAGCCTGGGCGACAGAGCAAGACTCTGTCTCAAAAAAAAAAAAAGAAAAGAAAGAAAACAAATACAGGCCAGGCGTAGTGGCTCACGCCTGTAATCCAGCACTTTGGGAGGCCGAGGCAGGTGAATTACCTGAGATCAGGAGTTCAAGACCAGCCTAGGCCACGTGGTGAAACCTGTCACTACAAAAATACAAATATGAGCTGGGCACAGCGGCACGTGTCTATAATCCCAGCTACTTGGGAGGCTGAGGCACGAGAATCACTTGAACCCAGGAGACAGAGGCTGCAGTGAGCCGAGATTGCACCACTGCACTCCAACCTGGGCAACAGAGTGAGACTCTATCTCAAAAAAAAAAAAAAAAAAGAAAAGAAAACAAATACAGTTGGCTGGGGCTTCCCTCCTGGCTCAAGACTGGCAGGCCTCTTCCGATGAGGCTGCGCTTCCGTAACGCGCAAGTGGTGCAGCACGTGTGTGCGGTTTCCAGGTGCTGAACACCAGCCAGCGCTCAGCAACTCGGATGCCCAGGTCTGAGCCAGCGTCCCACATCCCTGTTGCGTCCTCTGCTCTCTGCTGCCCTGAGCGCCCACATGCCCTTCAGCATGATCAGAATGATCTGCTCTGTGGCGTTCGCACGGGACGGGGAGAAAATCACACCATCAGACCCCGAGCTGCTCAGCGACCGGCGAGAGGCAGAAGCACTTATGCACCATTGTACGATTTCAGATGCAGGGAACCGGCCACTGTGTTAGCTCTGATGCTGCGCCCCTGTCCAGGACAGGGTGACTGTGGAAGGGCTGGGAACGGCGGAAAGCCAGGATCAAGCTCTAAGCACTTGCCTTCCCAGCATGTTTTATTCACAATTGGAGGAACGGGCTGAGGGAGAGACCCCCAGTGAGATCAGAGCTGGCAGCCGCGGTCCACGTGCTCTGCAGCCCGGGGGGACACAGGCCTGGGGAGGGGCTCCCAGGTCATCTGTGATCTCCCACCTGGCCCAAGGCCATCTTCAGGCAGAGGTGAAGGTGAGGCAGCCGCATGCTGTCTTTTCTCTCCTGCAAGACGCAGCTTACATTTCCTACTTGCACAACTTCTGTTCTCTTCCATGAGGTCAACGAGTGCTCCCATGGTACCCATGGCTCAGGCTCCCATGGCTTTGCAGATGCCGGCAGGGCAATGCCAGCCAGGTGAGTACACAGTGCTCCTGGCAGTCCTCCTGGGAGCTCTCGGGGGCCCTGGCCACTGCACTCTGGAGAGGGGAAGTGGGGTTCTCTTTCACACCTGCACCGCAAGGGCTTCCCCACCTGTCAGTCATCCAGGTCATCCAGTTGAAGGCTCCAGTGGGCCAAGGATGCCGGGTGCCAGTCTCCCTGCCTGCACCAAGGCTGCACTCAAGCCATAGCTCTGCCCCAGATGCCAAAAGGCTGGAGTTTCCCTGCAGCCCTGCACCTGCCTAGTCTACAGTGGGCTCCATCCCTGAGCTGGGACCACAGGGTGGGCTCGCCCCCTCCACCCCC